AAATCAATTTCGACACAGCAGGTAGCCTAAAATAAATTTCGAACTCCAAATTAGTTCTGTTAATATTAATGGTTTTAGAAATATCAGGAAAACATGTTTTTTGCATTCTAATGCGTTATAATTATATGCAGTTTCAACTACGGGATTGTCTTTGTATCGAAAAATCCGTAGCAATCACTCTGTATAACTCTTATAAATTTTCTGTATCACAGAATTGTGTTTCATTGAAACACGACAACTTATATGTGGCTGTTGATTTTCGTTTTCGGATGACAAACATCGACGTGACGTCTCTCCGAGGAGACTGTAACTCTTATCAATCAGTCCTAAAGTTTTCCACCCTTGAACAAACCCAGCTAAGCGTTCTGAGAATTCTCATAGCGAAAAGACAAGCACGACGATTTATAAATAGCGTTCGATGAATCGAGTTCTGAGCAATCGACAATCAGAGAAAACAATGGGACGGACTCGTTCCGGATTCAGTCTGAAAAAATTCGTCGAGTTGACGTATTACTACACTATGGCAAATCTGAAATAAGTCGAAAAAGTAATGAAAAAACCGATGTCGCTATTGCTCCGAACAATCTAACTTTTTGGCGACAACTCAGTTTTGTATAGTTATCTCTTTTTGATGTACCGAGTGCAATCAAGAGCTCGCACTGATTAAACGTACATTGTTTTGTCTTTGTTTATCGTTCGTGGATGAAATGATATTGGGGTCGTTCCCTCGCTTCAATCGAAGGCAAAATATGTCGAAATATTTGCCATCATGGACGCTTGTCATTCCCAGATCACTAAAATTTTGTGTGGGAGTGTACAATCAAAGAATTAGGGATAAACTGCTTGCCAATCCCAACGGGTCTAGATCCTTCTGGTCGCAAGCTACAGCTAACTCGTTCGCTGCCGATCACGCGACAGTGCGTGATAGTCGTACTTGGCAAAGGGCCGATCACGCACCAGTGCGTGATATACCTGTAAGCTGTGTATGTAAGATTTTGAATACGGCTTATAGAATTAATTTGAAAACAAGTGTCGGCATGTGCTAGGATAGACCATAGGTTAACCTTATAAGCGCGCGGTTTTTGATTTGACAGTACCCGTGTATGTTGTTAGTTTAGTGAAAATGGCGGAAAGTAGTAACATTGTGGCAGGACCTTCTCAACCAAAAAATGCGAAAATTGATGTGAAACGGCGTTTAACTGAGAAAGAAATGCTATATTATTTGGAACATGACAACTCCGACGACGNCTAAAAATATAACCCCTTCAATTCAAAAATGTATGATACATTATTGAAAAGGTAAAATCTGGTTCTATTCAAAACAGAAAGAATCCACTGTAGCGCCCATAAGAAAAACTAAAGTTGATGATGGTGGCCGGAAGACGAAACGTTGGATAGCAAATCTGAAAGCACCATTATGTAGCAGGGAAAAAGTGGCAATGTGGAAGTGCAATTTATTTTCGAATCCTTCGAAAAATAAGCCAGAAAACAATAACCATTTTCGGAAATTTCTGTTTTTCCTGATATCTCTGGATATACTCAGAACTTTCTCCACTGTTGTTGTAGTTAGTCAGGTAGATGCACAACTTTGCCCCAATTTAACAATCTTCGTATCTCTCATAGTTTCTGAGATCAAAATGGTGAGGATCGAATTTGATACACCCGGTATATGAAAAAAATCAAACAAATAAGTTACATTTAAAAATTATCGATTTTTTAAATCTTGATTTATAGTTCTCACAATTCATTTCCTTGGACATAATTCATGTTTTGACTGTCGACAATTTTTGTTCTCACTATGCGCAACTTCACTACGTATCATCAGAAATCGAGAACAAAATTTAGTCCATCCATGTCGAAATTCCAGAAAGCAACCCACATTAATCGCACACAATTACACACGCACAATATAGCAGACCATAATTTGGCAATACGATCTGAAAAGAGGTAAGTAAGTCAAGGTACAAACAAGGCCTTCCAAATTTCAGTCGATACGATTCGAATGAGGCTGGTTCGCATTTGAAGCTTTCGAATTTTTCATCGACGGTAGTGTCGTCAGTGGCTTTAAACAAGCGTCGATGGTCTGGAGGACGAGGTTATGTGGGGTCTGTTTTGAAAAAGTCAGCTTCAGTATTATTAAAAAATTGGACTTTTGACATATAAAGTGACACTTGCGAAATTGAATTTCGTTGGTTGTCAGTGGACTGTGATTTCGTAAAATGGTGGCTACTGAATAATTGTTTGTTTATTACACAGGTCACATGGTGTTATTACATCGACTAATTTTATAAGTACTAGCTACTGATCAGGCCCACTTTCACCAAACATTCGGTCAGTTAATGAGATAACGACAGATTCAACGAGTCTTTACATAAGGTCCTATATTTGATTTTAAATAAAACAAAGTTTGTGTGGGTATCATCGAAATTTTTTATTCTTTTGACTCTGGCGCATAAATCAAGCTGAATTTGACCAATGGCATGGGTTATGTTTGTTTTAAGGACCGCTGTGGTTTGTGGCTTATTCGTATGCACCTGCGACTTGAGAAAACCCCAAAAGAAAAAGTCTAACGGGGTCAAATTGCACGATCTTGGTGGCCATTTCACATCACCTTCACGGGAGATTACCATGCCCTCAACTCGCTCCTGCAGAATATTCACAATATGTGGCATGACCTGTGTGGCACATATCACCGTCCTGTTGAAACCACATGTCGTTGGTGTCCAGGTCATCCATTTCAGGCCATAAGAAGTTGGTAATCATCGACATGTAGTGCTCCCTGTTGACAGTGATGGCCTGGCCAACGTCGTTCTCAAAAAAATATGGACCAATGACGCCGCCACACCGAACAGTGACTTTTTGGGATGCATTGAACGCTCTTGGATCTCGTGTGGATTGGTATCGTACTAAATTCGAAAATTTTGTTTGTTGGGGTCAGGTCCCAACTGCTCCAGAGCCCATTCAGCGAACACACGTCGTTGTTTATGGTCGTTTACCTTCAGGACCTGGGTCAGTTTAATTTTGTACAGGTGCAGGCTCAAGTCACGACGCAAAATAAGCGAAAGGCTGTTGTCCTGCACAGTCTCACAGACAGCGGCGATGCTTTCAGCAGATCTTGCGTTTCGTCGACGTCCGGTTGTTGGTCGGACTGAACCAGTGGACTCAAATTTATTCACCACCACATTGCGAATAGTCCTCTCGGTAGGACGATTATGGCCACTGTAAAATGAGCCGAGCGCGCGGTACGTCAGACTGAATAAATGACAACTAATTTGAGAGGCGTAGCTTCAACAAGATGGCCATTCGAAAGTCCTTGTTGGTAGACCCTATACCACCGAACTGTTTATGTTGGTAACGTTTGTTTTGAAACAGGTGCCCGATATGGCACATGAATTTTACAAAAATGATAAGACACATGAATTTTACAAGAATGACAAATTATATTTTGAGTATTGGTTTACTTATCGATTTGAATTTGATATTGATATTGGTTCAATTCAATACCACAGAAATCCAGGCATCAGTTTTCTCCAAGATAAATGTCTCCGAACCGGATATAATGTCAGGTCAGACAATTCAGCTTTCTGCTTCGATAAGTTTGTTGGGGGTTAAAATGGACACCAATATGTCTTGGCACAATCATGTCGTTGGAATTGCAAAGGCTGCTTCTCAAAAGCTTGGAACACTGTTCCGAACCATAAAGAAAACTGTACACACCTCAGCAACTTTTGATGCTTTATAAAGCTCAGATCAGGCCTTTGGAGTAGTGTTCTCATGTATGGAGCACTGCCCCCAAACATACCCTGATTGGAGGTGCGAACTTCACGTGCAACCTCGATAGCCTTGAACATCAAAGAAAGTCTCTCATTTATATATACTTTCATGGGAGGTGTCCAAGTGACTTGGCACATTTGATTCCACCAAGAGATGTAAATATCAGGAATACGCGACGGGCTGTCGCTGCTCACCGTTTTGTGGTTCGAACTTCATTGTTTAAGAACTTTTTCATCTAGAAAACTGCGTTTATGTGGAATACACTTCCTGAGAACGTTTTGACAAATAGATTTAATCTCCAGCGATTCAAATCCAAAGTGAATCGCTACTTTCGCACAGGCACCGATTTGACAGCGCCTTAAAGATTTTCCTGTAGTGCTTGTGGTTTGCTCTTGAAAAAATTTAAATTATGTTGAATTTGATGAGACCTGAGCACAATTATGTTTGGCCAGCTCCATATACATTCCTGGAAAACACCAACGTTGAAGTCAGTCAATGTAGGACCTTACTTGTAAGGAACAATACTGGAGAGACACGGACAAAGATCATAAAATTGGAAAATCTTCATGCCACACATGGATACATGGAAATATCCTTGTGTTTTGATTGTGTCATCTAAAAAATTTTACCAATCTGAGCTACTCGCTTGCCAAGCGAACTTTAAATTTAACAGTTTTCATTCGAAATTTATTATATTGTTGTTTCTGGATTGCTGTAAGAGTTGTTGATATTGAAAGAGCAATATAATGGTGACTTTTCACCGTCTAAATTAAACTTCGCATTTTATGTTTGTTTGAAGGTGATTGACAATGTTTCATGATGAATTTCATTAGTTCGGACTTCCATTATCTGATATTATATAAAATGATTTGAAATCCCCGAAAGAATAATATCAGACAATGGAAGTCCGAACTTATGAAATTCTTCGCATTTTATTTGCGGATAAACACTGTTATGCTAATGTACATCTCTTTGGTTTTGCTTTCTAATCTGACAATGAAGATATTATTATCAGTATAAACTATTAATATATCATCGGAAATGTTATGAACTACAAATTTCGTTTCTGTTTCATGTATGAAACAGTTACATCATTTTTCAATAGCAGAGAAAATTGTTTTTTTTTTTTGAAGAAAAAATATTAATAGAAGAAGATGACACTTGGTTACCATACTGGTAATGGTGTAATTTGCCTTATTTTCTACTACTATGAACTTATACAACTCGATAAAAAAACAGTCTTAAGAAAAAAACAAGGTGTTATCATTGCTATATCACAAATCCGTTGTCACTTTTCCTACTCTTGACTCCAGTTTGTAGCTTGCAACGGACTTTCTAATTCATCTCCGGTTCATAAGTCACAAAAAAGTTTCTTAAGATAATTTTTTTCGCGTCGTCTCTCTGCAACGGTGTCTTCTTTCCCTTAAGCCTGAAGCGTTAAAAATTCCCCGTTAATGAATGATACTCCTTGACGGTATCACATTTCGAAACTTCAAAAGATAAATCGCTCTTTATTCTTCCATTGTGCTCAATTTCTCTTCATGTTTGGAGACAATTAAAAAGAGGTCTTTCATATTGAATAAATCATTATTAAAAACGACGGTTATTAAGCGTCCGGGGGGTGGGGGTGGAGGGGGCGGTTGCCGCGAAAAGGAAACATTGAACGTTGACGACGCTGCGACGTTTAATCGATAATCCGACGTCGCTGCCTCGGAGGGAAGACCCGATGGAACTCATTTAGTTTTTCGTGTTCCAGGTAAATTAGGCAAAATTGATGTATTATTGGAAAACTGGAAAAAATATGTTTTTCTGAAATTCGTGGAAAAATGCTCTTTTTTTTATTGATTTTATGTATAGAAAATGGTACTATTCAACACGGTTACGAGAAGAAAAAAAATCATTTGAGAACATCACTAATCATATTTTTCCCCATATCATGTCAATAAATTAGAAACTTCTGGACCATTTACAAAATGGTAATTTTTACTTCTCCAGCTGTATA